AACAAGAGATTTTTTTTTCTTTTGGATGTTGCTCATGACTGAAAGATTTTGTATGGCAACAGAGTGTAGCCATGTTGTCATCAGTTGGAGGGAGTGTGTTAGCACGCAGCATATTGTGCATGTGTGTAGCTGTACAGGATAGTACTGAGTGTGCTATTGAATGTGGTATTTGTTTATAGGAAGCACATGATGTCCTTTTTTCCCTTCCTCGCTTGAGCCTCAGGGGCTGTTTTGTTGTTTGTTTTTTTAAGCTGAAAAATTAGCTTCCTGTTTAGTCTGTAATTTAACATGCAGAACTACAAAATTGTTTGTATAATAAAGTTTTAAGATAATGTTGATATTGACCCTTCTGCACAGAGCTTGTATATAACAGGGAGGCTACTGCAGTAAAGTAATTTTTGGTGTGTTCATTTTTGTTTTAACTATGTAATTAAAATATCTCATAATTTGTATTTATATTTTACAACAGAAATTGCTTTAAAATAAATATACAAACTGCAAGATGAAATGTGTGTTCTGTTCCTTATTGTGTCAAAGTATTTGAACTCTTGGAAGTTGTCAGCTACTCTGTCACATTGGATCTTCTTGTCTAATTATTGACCACTACTCTTACATGGTACCAAGGTGTAATCACTAACATGATCCTATATTGCCATCTTTTGGAATATTGTTGTGTTTTAGGTGTCATGCAGTTTACTGCTGCAGACTGAGCAACCCACAGACTTCTATTAGCTGCTGTTGAAAAACCAGTGGCTTGCAGCACCCTCTAGTGTGCAAAGCTGTTGATGATTCTATGGGCCTGTGTTAAATTCAGCTTTTCTGTATGTTTTGGTGTTATAAAGTCATGCTTTTCAAGCTACCAAGCATGGTCATTGAGGCTGAAAAAGCTATGATTCCTATAATTTAATGACCAAGTAAAGGATATTAACAATAGGGGGAAATGGGCCTCATGGTCAATGTGTGTCAGTATGTGGTCATACTTGTACAAACTGGTTTGAAAAACTCAGCACTTAATCACAATATCAATGGGAAAAGTGCCTTAAAGTGATCAATATTTTCTAATCTTGTCCACAAATTCCATTAAAAAGTAAAACCAACAATGAACTGACCCTACTAACGAGTATTGTCTATGCAGCCAAAGCCTGATATTATATTCCTCTGCACCATAGTGCTTCTCTTTTGTCCAGGAACTAATAAAAACACATCAGTGAGCCACTCCATTACACTGGGTGACATACTCCTTTCTTTACTATGAACATGGGCCCTGTAGTTTATTTTGAGTCGATACCACATACATCATCCTGTTGCCATAAAAATTTACTAGTGCACAAAAGCCACAGCTCAAAATCACCCTGAATGAAAACACTCTTTACTCCTGTTTGAGAAATATTGGCTTAAAACTATACCTCCCAGGTCTTTTAGGAAATGATATGAAAGTATACACTGACCAGCCAGTTTAATAGTCGCACCTGTACAATTGTATGCAACAGTTCGACCTTAACATCTGTGTTTATAAAGCTCAAAATGTTTCAGTTTTTGGTGAAATTGTCATAAATGTTTAAATACGATTATGTGTTTATTATTGAGGTCATAGTAAAAGGTGGTGTTGTACTGGACTACATTATATTCAGAGGTGTTCCTAATATTCTGACCCTCTCGTGTATGTAGCTGGGAAGGACAAAAATATAGAGACACTTCTGTAAGGGTTCGACAATATATTTTTGCCTTGGGGCCCCTCCAGAGGTTAATCTGGCCCCGGTCGGGGCCACCCTTCTATTGCTAATTCTGAATAACAAATAAGCAGACGTTACACTCTGTCTCTCACAGTCCTTGGCACCTCAAGCCTCACTCCTGCCATCTGATCACCAGGCTCTGCAACTGTTTCAGCTGTCACACATATCTTGCTTAGCACTCAATATTTTCCAGCTGACAGTTTATACTTCCTCATTCACAGAGATAAAGATAGCAGTTGATTAACCCTATTTCTGATGAAGTAAGATACAGTAATTATACCATTCTATATTAGTAATTTTCTATTAACTCGATCTTTTCTCATATGAATGTGTCAGATCAGCCACTGAAGATCTGGACTTGAGTGGATGCAAAATGTAATAAATGAGCAGCAGTGTGTCAGGACAATGACCTGGCTGAACTTCAACAAAAAATGATCACTGAATTAAAGGCAAGCCTAATAAGGCAAATATACTTTGAAATACATTTCCAACTGCCCTGTACCTGCTGAAAGGGTGCTGCCAAAACCAGACCAGAATTCAGGGAGCTTTTAGTTGATCCACAAGCTGACAATGAAGCTTTAGAAAGGGACATAAGCAGTCCAGTCCCGCAGACCACAAATAAACCCCTGGAGAAATAGTTCCTGAAACAGAGAAAGCAGACAAAAATCCCCATCAGACTCCGAGATGACTTTAAGACTATCTTTGCTGAATATGTGCAACATGAGTGCACATATTTTCACTTTTCATTTCACTTAGCAGCAAATTTGAAAGAGCTTTATGAGGTGAGGCTAGATCCTTAACTGCTCTCTCCTGGCAGAGAAGTATTGGCCCATTTCACATATCCAGGTAAAGGTCATATAGTGACAAAAGGCTGTCAGACAGCTAATTGAGAAGCTGAAAAAAGAGTTCAGCCTCTCAGATCTTAGTTTCTTGGCCCACACACTGAGGTCAGAAAGTCATATCCTGAGGCAAAAGGTGCAGGAGTGTCATAATGAGCCTCAAGAGTTCCTCTGTGACTAACCTTCCTCTGTATTTAGCAGCAGGATGTACATTTAGAAATAAAAGCTAGGCTCTTAAGCAGCTCTGATAATTCTCTAATAACAGCTATTAAAGTTTAAAGTTTATGAATGGACATCTTAAGAGAAACAATGGCTCTAGGTTTCTGAGGTGAACATGCTATATAGGGTAATACTGCGACACTCACTTATTTTGATTGTCAGTAAAATGCAATGAAAATCAAAAGATTATAATATATATTATGTAGCCTACACTGAATCTGTTTGTACTGTAAATACATAGTACAGTGCTTTACACTCTATTAGCCCTATATTTACATTGGTCTTAATCTTTTCTTTTTATGTGGGGGTAGTGTTTCTGTTTTTGTTTGATCTGCTGCTGTTTTACATATATAAGTAAAAGGTCTGAAACATGATTATCTAGCAGTTACAGAGCAGTTGTATGTTGCCCTATTTGCGATACATGAAACAAAAGTGCAGCATAGAAACCAGTCAATCAAAGGCACTGCAAAACTGCAGAGCTTTCAGTTTAGACTTGAAAGTGGCAGAGTTGGAGCACATTTAAGGTTATCAGGAAGTTGATTCCATCAGTGCGCAGCATGGTAGCTAAAAGCAGCTTCACCCTGTTTGATTCTGACCCAAAGTTCTACCAGCTGACAGCTGGATGTCAGAACCCTGCTGGGTTTTTATTATGCAAGGAGATCAGAACTGTATTTTGGCCCCATACCACTAAGTGATTTATAAAGTATCAGTACTACTTTGCAGTCTATTTTGTAGATAAGTGGTAGCAAGTGTAAGAATTTAAGAACAGGAGTGATGTGCTCAGTTCTGCTGTTACTTGTTAAAACTCTAGCAGCAGTGTTCTGAATGACCTGAAGTTGTCTAAGGTGGGGGACACCAGACAAGAGACCATTACAATAGTCCACCCTGCTGGAGATGAAGGCATGAATTGGCTTTTCTAAATCTTGTCTGGACATGAAAAGTCTAAGTCTTGCTACTTGTTTGAGATGATACAATGCTGATTTACTTTTTGGCCTTAATGTGACTGGTGAAGCTCAGGTCTGAGTTAATTATGACGCCAAGATTTCTAACTTTTGTTTTAGTCGTTATAGTTCTCTATATATATTGTGTTTGTATATTTAAAATGTAAAATAAAGTAAATTATAGTTTAAAATTCTTTAAATTACATACTTTATATAAAAACCACAATAACCTTCCTGATTAGCTGCATCACATACTGGCCCGTCGTCCTTTGCGGTATTGTGACGTCAAGTCAGCTGATCACTGCTGTAGCAAGCGGTAGCAAGGAGGAAGATGTCGCTGGTGAACTGTCAAAGGATGGAGGCTTTTTTCCCCGGAGTGTTTGTGCTCTGCTTCTTGGTCACAATCGGTAAGAAATATATAACGACAGGTTGTCATGATTCACTTTTTGGGAGGCATTTTCTACACATAAATCTAACGCGATAGCGTCATGGATGCGTCAGTTTGCAAATAACAGCTCGCTAACCTAGCCAGGAACGTCGTTAGCATCGCTTATTTGCTTAGCGTTGTGTTAGGTCTGATACCGTCGCATTGATGTTAATGCGAATATGAAAAGTAATCTTGCATTTATAAGTAACATTAGACGCTGAATCGATGTGGTCAACAAGCAGACACTGAAAATGACATTAGCCTTTTGCTAACAGTGTATTAGCGCACTAGCTAACTGTTAATGCTAGCAGCCAGGATGAGAATGTGTACTGGATTAACAAATAAGATGAACGCATACAAAACTGGAGTGAGCTTTTACACTTGTATGCTTCATTGTAGCTGTTCCTAATGTACAGAAGTGTGTCCTGCCATGTGACAGCCTCTGAACGGGTAGTTCCCCTTTAACAACCACCCTCAGCTCTCCGTCACGAGTTCATGCCTCCATACAGTCCGTTTGCCTTTACTTTGACCTTAAAATCAGGTCAGGACGTTGAGAAAACTGGTGCTGGCGTTTACTCTTACGTACAACTAACATATCAGTGAAAATTTCTTATATTGCTACACCGACAGAAGTGACATGGCGTCTCATGTGTAATAATGGTGTACCATTATTGCAAAAGAGTAGCAGAGAGCGCTAACTCAATAAATGAATGTCAGTGATAGTCACAGATGAAGCTAAAATGTCTAAATTCTCAAATCAGATATCTTTAGTAATTTAGTACAGCAGTTCTATTACATGAATATGTAAATCCATCGGAGTTGTGATGCAATTCAGTTATGAAAAAAAAAACTGGTAGATATGCCATAATTGCATATTAAAGAACGTTTCTCAAATAATAGTTTTCTGTATCACAGATCTGTTGAGAAAATATTTGTATTCACAGAAGTACTTGTACTGTGACTTTACTTTACATGTTTTACTTGAATTGACAGCCATCTCATTTATCTCACAGGCGTCCATGGGGACAGCTTAACAGTGCTGCAGGCTCCAGATTTTGTCTCCTTCCAGAAAGGAGACTGGCCTATGTCTGGAGAGAAGATTCCTGACCTGGTGGCTTTAACCATGGGTTTCTCTGTTCAAGAGGTGCTTTGTTATTTTAAGGAGTACTCCACAATTGTATCTGTCTTTTATTTTTTAGAAGTAGTGTACGCTCAGGATTATGCTAGCAACACCAAGTATTCACAGTGTGCGTTGTGTGTACAGGATCTGTCCTGGCCAGGCCTCCAGGCTGGTCCTTTATTTCAGCGGCCTCGGGCTAATGTCCTGGTGGTGGTAAGAGGAGTTGATAGCTTGGCCCTGTCTCAGAGTGTGGCCTCCTACCCTTTGGAAAATGTGAGTCAGATTGGAGTGGAGCTTTATTTGGATGTTTTGCACTTAACATACAGCATGTAAAAATAACTGAACATTGGAATGTAATTTTAACATTTTGCCTTAGTTTACCAATGAGTCATACTCTTTCTTGCAGCCAGTACCCTTCACCTTGGATAGTGTTGCAGAGACGGTACACTCTCTCTTTGCTGAGGACACACCTGTAGTGCTTCAGCTGGCCCCCAGTGAGGAGGTAATGAAAATATACTGACACTAAACAAAGCATACTTACTGTCAGCCTTAAGGTGTCAGGTGCTCATTTGTTTTTATTATCTGTCTGTTGTCACTCTCAGAGGCTATATATGCTTGGAAAGGCCAATGTTGTTTTTGAGGAATTGCCAGTCACCTTGCAGCAGATCCGTGCCCGTCTGTCCCAGGATGGCTCTGTGCTTCCCTCCCTGCTCCTCAGTTCCCTCAGCAGAAATGCAGAGGTCAGTTTCAGAGAGCAGCATCACGCCCATAAGAGGCCTTAGTGGCTTTTTATATATCATATTTGGAGAGCAAAACTGTGATATGACTTTATTCCTTATGTAACCCAAATCCTACTATATGTTGTTTTGTTTTGTTTTTTTTAAGACAAAACTGTGATAGTAACATGGCGTGATAGTTAGTTTTTTTTTTAATCTGGAACATTAAACTTTCCTGTAGCTCTGTCACTGTACTTCAAAAATAGGGTGTTAAAACTCATTGTCTTGCTGTTTTAACACACACTGTGCACCATATGTTATTAGTGCACTTATTTTATAAACTAATAGCACCACAATACTCAGAATGTCTTACCCCTATTGTTTTAATTGTTAGGCTGATTTGCTCTTCCTGTCTGAAGTACAAGTACTGCATGATATCACAGCCTTGGTAAGTTGTTCAAGTTGGTGAAAACATGTATGGTTGTTTTTTTTTACCTTCCTGGAAATAAGGGTAGTCTGACAGGTTTGACTTAGATTTCTATGCCTTCTGTCTTTGTAGCTACAGAGACACAAACATTTGGCTAAGGACCACTCCCCTGACCTGTACTCCTTAGAGCTGTCTGGCCTGGAGGAGCTGAGCCGGGCCTATGGCCAAGACTCCCCTCAGTACAGAGATGCCACTGCCATTCTTGCCTCTGCTGTGCAGAAAGTAAGGAGAGGATGGTAATCTAATCAACAGAATCTCACCATTCTTTAAATTAACATCTGTTTTTAACCATATGCATGTCTTTGCATTATAGTTTGGAGAGGAAGTGTATGGTCTCTATGGCAGCAGTGCTGTTGTGGAGGTTGTGACAGTGAAAACTTTTGAGGCTCCTTTGACCAGGAAGTCCCGTTCGATCCTGGAATCCATACAGATTGTAAGTAGGAGATGCACCTGCTTGTTCCCTGTTTACCATTCTGAAGTTTAATGCTTACTCAGGTGAGCCAATAGAGAGATTATACACTTATGCAGTGGATAATTATTAGAGATGCACAAATCAATCAGCGGAGATCGGAAATGGCTGGTTTTCTGCATGATTGGCCTTGACTGGTGACGGGTCAGTCACTGAGATTTTGATTCTGTGCTGATCAGATTTAGAGTCATCACAGTCCATGTTGCATATGCAGTGTGTAGGATCTCGCGCAAGACTCGCGCTAATCTCTGTAACGGGTGTCTGTTCAATCACACATTGGAAACCCCTGGTGTACAAACAGTGCACAGAGGAGCCTACTGAAACACCTTAGAGAAGGTAAAACTACATCTTGAGCACATTTCTCCAGTTTTGGCTTCCTTGCACTGGTTACCTGTTTATCTTAGGAGCCACTATAAAAATGTATTATTTGTTTTTAAATCCCTTCATGGCTTTGCACCTTCTTATTTATCCGACTTGCTTCACTGGTATACGCCCACACGTTCTTTGAGGTCAGCTAATTTGTTTCTTTTGAGTGTGCCCAGAACAAAGCACAAGCTTAGAGGTGATCGTGCTTTTGCGGCTGCTGCTCCCAAATTATGGAATGATTTACTGCTGCCCATCAGACAAGCCTCTTCTTTGCCTGTTTTTAAGTCCCTTTTGAAATCGCATTTATTCTCGTTGGCTTTTTGATATTTTATATTGGTGTTGATTTTATCTGTACTTGTAAGTTATGTTTAATTTTATTGTATATTATTTACACTGTACAGCACTTTGGTCCACTTTGGTTGTTTTTAGTGCTTTATAAAGTTGGAATGGAATCGAAATCCCTGACAAAAGGTGCACAACAGAGGGAGTTACTGGCTACACATGAAATTCATGTATATGTACAGTGTATCCAACCCATGGTAAAACACAACAAATACAAACTACACATGCTTCAAAATGAACTGTGTGCTTGGTAGTAACAGACATTCTTCTGTTTCTATTACCTGTTGCACCTGTTTATATTTGCAGAAGTACAAATATTGCACTTCATTTTTAGTTGGTTTGTAAAAAAAAGAGTGAGAGAAAGATTGAAGTGTAAAACTTTAAAGTGGCCATGGCATGCTCGTTTCCGACCATTTAATGTTTAGTCTTGGGTACCTCTAGATTAGTTTTGGCATAGTTAGATGAAAGTGCAGAATTTAGGTGACATAGTTCCTTTGTAAGAAATGCATCTACTTTCCTGATTTTGCCTATTGTAATGTTTTGCAGAGTAACCCAGGTAGCCCATACAACCTGGCCTACAAGTACAATTTCAACTATTCTGTGATCTTCAACATCGTGCTGTGGCTGATGATCGGTCTGGCCCTCGCTGTCATTGCCATCTCGTACAACCTGTGGAACATGGACCCAGGATATGACAGCATCATCTACAGGATGACCAATCAGAAGATCAGGATGGATTAAATCCTGGTCATTAACACTCCAGCTGTTCTCTAATATCTCACTAGTGAATGTTTGTGTTCGTGAGGTCTTGTTTAGTGATAAAAAAATACAGTTAGCTTGATGGGAGGAAGAGAATCATCACATATCACGTCTGAAACACTGGCATAATAGACAGATAATTACTTTACAGTAGTTGACTCTTACATTTACCTACATAAAACAGTCGAACAAATTCAGACTCCCTCCCCTCAACCTTACAGCTCATGTCATTCCTTATGACCCTAACTCCTCACTGTTTCATTTTGCTCTTGGTGGTTGCAGTGTTTTTTTGTTTTTTTTTATTGTAAAAACTATTGTAATGTTATGAAAGAATGAGATTTGTCTGGTTTCAGTTTGAAGTTGTGCTTGTATGAAGCTGTTTTAAATTTAAATTAAATGTGTATATACTGAATCTGCAAATATAACTGTATAAATGATGCTGTACTCTTATTGTGAAAAGATCTGTGCAGTGTTTATTCCAGGTTGGTCCAGGTACCCCTCTGCTAATCCAAGTGATAAATTCATATTGGATTACATAAATACTTGATCATAATGTTGGTTGGTAATATTGGATAAATGAACCTGTAAATTGCCTGTCAAATTAAATTATTACACCCACATCCATAGACTGCTTTCTTGTACATAACAATGAGCTATGCTTAAGACCTTGTTTATAAGTAAGTAGTAAAACTATTTTGGTTATGTTCAAATCACATCAATGGACATTATGGATACTGGACAAGAAGGGAAGTGACAAATATCTGCTGTGTCTATTCCAGGTAAATGTCCAGTTTCCTTAAAAGAACTGTTAATTCTTTTGAAGGCTCCTGGAAATAGCGGTGTAATTTTGGTTCTATACTATATGTGTAGATACAATGATGCACTTGTTTAAAGTATTTTTATTAGCGTTTTACAATTAAAAGAATCAAGTCTGGAAGTGCTCAGAGGTTTGAACATACAATTCTATGACATTTGGGCCAACATCTGCTGATGATGATCATGTGATACAAAAGCTCCAGCGCCACCTACTGTTAAGTGGTAATAAGATTGTTTTGTCTACTAGTCTTAGTCTGTATGCAGTTAGGGAATATGCAGATTTGTCTACAGACAAGCATTATAATTTATCATTAATGAAGAATAAATATTCAAGTATAAATTATCTTACTTTTGCTTTCTTAACCTAACGGGGGAAGGATTTCTAACCAATACACAAACTATTTGTGAAGCGATCACGCAGATTCTGCGCATGTGTGGTTCATCTCACCTGTTTTCTACATAAATGTCATGTCCATCCTTCTGTCGTTCGTTCATTCTGTTCTTACGTAACAGCCCAGCCAATCAGAAAGCAGATGGTTCATGTAAGCCCCGCCCCTGATATCATAACTGGTAGTTTTGTAACAACAGGAAGAGTTCAGGGACTAACATTGAAAGAAGCACAAATATACCTGCAACGGACGAGGTTTTCTCGCTCATACAGTGAAGCTGGTTACAATGGTCTGACTACTAATAGACGGTAGGAGTTGTTTGACCGTTTTTTGTGTATTAAAACCGTATTTGACCACGCCTATGGGAGAGGTTTCCCCGAAGGGTCAAACAAGTAAACAATGAATGTACACTGGCCTATTTAGCTATATATCTATGTATCCAGTCGATTATACTGTGTAGTAACTGAAGAAAGTTAATTTAATAAACGTCGTGATGATTTGATTAAGACATGTGCCGTTTTTCTAATGCATCTTGTTTTGTTTTTGTTTTGCACCCCAGCTAGCACCTACGTGGTTAGGAAGATCAGGGCTTTCATCGCACGGGGGGAGCACCCGGAAAAGCCCATTGTTACACCATGTAGTGCTATTGGTAAGAAATTACATTAACAACTACTACAGCTTCTGCAAAGGAAACAAAGAGAAGCCTAGCAGGAAATAAATGCCCCCTTTGGCCTCCATGATACTATACAGTTGTCTGTTTAAAACATGAATTCAACCAATGATTTCCACTATTTCTACTAACCAAATATCATTGTTGACCATTAGCAATTAAGTAATTATGTGTATTATACCCCTATTCGACCAAGACAGTTCAAGGGCTGGTTTGGAGCCAGTACCTAGTTTTGAACCAGTTTTTTGTGTTTTGACAGCCACAGAACTGGTTCTAACTTAACACCACCCACCAAAGTTGGCATGTAGGTTTGAAGAGGAGAGGTACACTCAACATGTCACTGACTCACTTGGGTTTTTCTTTTTTCCCTTAGCTGAAAGGAGTGCAGGAGATGAGTTGAGAGGAAATAACCCAGTGGCACCACTGATGTCAGGACCTGATGAAGGTGTCAGTGGAGCTACAGGCTTGGGGAAATCCTCAGAGACAGCTGTGCAGAAATGTGGCTCCTGACATTAAATATCACACTAGACACTGGTACTGTGGTCATCTGTATGGAAAACATAATTAGTCCTCTTTGTATTTTTGCAACACAAGACAATAATATACCCACAGATGGTGTTCAACATTAATTCTAAACCCAGTGTCCATGCTGCACTCAGGGATCACTGTCCACCTGTTAATGTACAGTTAGGCCTTTTTCATAGTGGACATTTCGACTTATCATTAAAAACACACACAAAACAGGTGTAATGAATAACATTAATGATGTTCCATATAGGTTTGTTAGTGAATTAACATGCGCAAAACTTCAGGAACCTGGTTCAGCTGAATGTAATGCAGATATCTAAATATTATTTTAATTACTCAACATGTTTTCTATGAGAAAGGCTTATATTTATTTACTGTATATGCTGCAGTGTTTGAAGGCTGACTCACCAACCTCTCTCTAGGGGCTGAAGAGACCTGATGTTTCTGCTGCTGTATCAATAAATAAAGAAAGAAATTGCTACTGGGGTGATGTATGCCATTTATATAATGGTTGTAAGGCTGTTGGTAATGACCAAGACATTAAACCTTGTGTATCTTTTACATGTTTTACAACTAATACACCTCCTAATGCACCTTTTTTTATTTAGACCTTGACTTGTCATAGAAGGAAAACACAGGTGTAACTAATAATAGTGATAACAATTCAATTCCATTCACTGTCCCACTAATCCATAACAGTAATAATGGGGAATATATGAATGGAATTTATGAGTCATCATTAATTACATTAATTAATCATGCATATATTTATAATTATGCCAACCCCAACTATCTCAACATTTTTCTATTTAGCATGCTGATTTGTTTAAAAACATGCTATGCTAAAATTTGTTTTGTTTTAAACATGTATAGCTTAATAAAATCCAAATTTGGACTTTAAACCACTATATCTAATTAGGTAAAATATGAAAGCATGGAATTTTTTGACTGTTTAATATTTTTTACATTTATATTCTTTTAAAACAAATAATGAATTTACCTGTTATCTGGAATTTCATTAAGGATAACTTCTTTTAGGAAATTGCATGTAAGCACAATTTAAACTAATAGCTAAAGATCTTGAATTTTAGAGCAAAGGCTGGACAGCTACAGCTGAAGACACAATAGACAATCTGGCACAGGAAACAAGACTGGTGTATATAGCTAAAAAGTTAATGGGAAATGGTTAGTTAAAGGTAGAGTTGGCGTTCCTGGAAAACCCAGCAAGAGGAAGCTCGATTTTGAAAGTAGACAACTGAAGAAATCCGACCTTGCCACTATGGTATCACTTTTCATCCCCCAGTTGTTGCCATCATTCAAAAGCGACACAAATGTTAATCATGGCTTTACTTGCATCATCCAACTTCCTTTTAGTTGTAGCTTTCTCAAATACGCTGTTACCCACCCAAATCTGTGGCCCTGAACCTTAGTTGGGGATCTCTGGTTCATGGCTAAATTGCCTTCGCCATGGCTCCTAGCCGGTAACTAGCCTTAGAAGTCCAGGCTTTTCTGGCAGGGAAAAGTGAAAAGGGAGGCCAGCTAACTGTTGAGACCACAGGCTTTATTCCGTCTTGGTAACGAACACTGAATGTGGCCTTTTGATGCCCAGTTAATTGCATTAAAATCCTATACCCTTAGAGCTGAGTACTGTTGGTATTTTCCCCACCCATAGCTGCATGTAAAAGGAGTCCATTCTGTGCAGCGGTATTCTCACTTTCATACTGGATGTAGGTAGCAACTCCTGGCAACAACAACATCACCTATAAGGCTATATGTATGTCTTAAAAAGGGAAGGCCTGGCCTGAAACAGCAGTCTCCATTTGCAAATGAAAGCTGCTGTGGGTACCTTCTCTGCCATAGCTTGCTAGCTTTAGCTGTAAAACAGGTAGCATGTCTGCCTGTAACTGCAACGCCTTATGGGCGACTCTTGGCTCACGCATTAAGTGCAAGTGTATGCTAGTAGGAAGTTAGGTTAACAGGCAGGAAAGCCATTCAGTGGCTTTGCTTGGGACTAGTAAAACCATTTGTCAGGTGTTTTTCAGCCCTGCTGCTGCCACAAATGACAGGTTTTTTTCTTTATATTATGTTGTCAATGCATGTAATGTATTCACTACCATTGGAATGAAAAGAGAAATTTAAGAAATGTAACAAAAATGCTTCTGGAAGAAATCACAAATCCTACCTTTAAGGGCATCAATTGTCAGGGAAAACCAGAAATACTGGGTAACTGCAGAGCTGGAGGAGGATGGTCTTGGTAAATGGTCTTATACTCTGAAAAGGTAGGAGAGTGAGTAGAATGGCAAAGGGCACTGGAAGCAAAGATGAATGACTAGGGACATAGAAGTACAGCAGAATTATCAGGAAAATTTACTTAAAGTATGAAAAGTTCTGCAGAAAAATTGTCCCTGTGAACTAATATTATATATAAAACCGTTAATACAGATGCATTAATGTGTAAGTAGCATTTATAATTGATTGAGGTGGCGATAGCTTCAGCCTATATACATTTGGATATTGGGCCACATCAAAAATAAATCTTTTGGGGGGAGGGGTATACTTGATTAATAGGAAAGGTAAGTTCTGTTCTGCTAATACTTCTAAATATTATTTTTTCAGACTTTTCTCTCTTTTTTTGTATTTATTTATTTATTTATGTACAAATAATAGATTATGTTCCCTCTTTGTATCTTGAACAGTTCTCTAAATTATATGAAAGGCTAATGGGGAAGTGTCACCTTAAAGGAATTACTAACAGCTTACAGACATCAGAAACGTTTTCCCTGACCAACCTGCCCTCAGGAACTGTTTATGGCCTTGGTGGGATTGTTTTCCGTGATGCACTTCCGTTCTTCAACGGATGTTACAAAAGGATATTGTGCACCCCTCAGATGCAAAATCGGACCTAGCAAAATGTTCTGCAGAGTGGTGGTGGAAATGTTTATGTGCAAATAGTTTGTGTTTTCTGCTTTTTTTGTGTTAATATCAAGAGAAGCTCTGGCCTAAGGTAAGCATGAACTCTCATCAGTTTAGCTTACCTTTTGGACAAAGTAGCAGTAACGTGGCTATCTCCGTTGGCTAGTGCCAGCTAAATGTGGTTTTGAATTAATGCTGTGTCCAAAAGCTTGAAGGAAATCAAATTCCAAATTAAACACGTGTCTGCTGCTGGGATGCTGGTGAAAACGACTGTAATACAGGTGGCTAGTTTTGAATTGGTTATGTTACACCTGCTCTGTGCAACCTAAACACCGGATTCACTAACAAAAGAAACCTCCTCAGTGTTGCTTGCTAATTTGGAAAAGTAGGACACTTCAATTTAGCTGCACGTTGGTACATTCACATGCATCCACGCAATTTTGATCTGTATTATCTTTCAGTCTGTTGGCACCTTGACAGTAAAAAAAAACAAACATGTCATTCAGTGATTTATTTTTCCATCGGAATTTCTTTTCTTGTAATGAATTCTTTGTATTTTAGAGGCTTCTCAGTAATGATATTGTACTGTATGCCCCTATTGTTTGTAATATCTGGTAGGATCTTATAGGTATTTTGCTAAGATGAGATGAGTCAGTTAATCAGGTAGCTGACTGTCTGAAAATGATCACAAATATTTTGATAGTCAATTAACTATTCAGTTATTTCTGAAATAAAACTAGTGAGAGAATGCCAACCCCTCATTAGTGTCTACCTCCCAAATGTGTTCTGTTTTTCTGTTGTCTGTAGCTGGGAAGTTGTTGTTTTTGTACATTTTTTTTTTGTTAATAAAATTTTTTTAAATAGTTTTACATTTCATTGATAAAACAATGCATGGGCTTATTGTAAAAATGTAATATAACCTGCAGATGAATCAATAGTAAAAAAAAATTGTAGTTGCAGTAGGATCTTTTTACTTATTGACAAGTTGTACCTTAGTTGTTGCTTAGAGAATGGATCTTGTTTTATATTTTATGAACTACAGCTCTGGACACTCATGGCCACCTTTGTGTTTCTTGCAGTGTTCTTGCTGTGCCTTACCAGTTGTGGACCATTATGGCGCGAAAAAGAGCCTTAACTATTCCATTTACTGTTGAGAAGAATAACTTGGTATGTACAGTATATTGTTTTGAAACATCATGTTTTCATGATATACAGTGGTGTGAAAAAGTGTTTGCCCCCTTACTGATTTCTTATCTTTTTGCATGTTTGTCACACTGTAATGTTTCAGATCGTCAAACAAATTTATATATTAGTCAAAGATAACACAAGTAAACACATCATGCAGTTTTTAAATGAAGGTTTTTATTATTAAGGGAAAACAAAATCCAAAACTATAGAGCCCTGTGTGAACAAGTGTTTGCCCCCCTGTCAAAACACTGGTTTATCGCACCTGAGTTCAATTTCTTTCAAAACCAAATGAGAAAGAGAATAATTGAGCTCTATCAGTTTGGAAAAGGTTATAAAGCCATTTCTAAAGCTTTGGGACTGCAGCGAACCACAGTGAGAGCCATTATCCACAAATGGCGAAAACATGGAACAGTGGAGAACCTTCCCAGGAGTGGCCGGCCGACCAAAATTACCCCAAGAGCGCAGCGACAACTCATCCAAGAGGTCACAAAAGACCCCACAACAACATCCAAAGAACTGCAGGCCTCACTTGCCTCAGTTAAGGTGAGTGTTCATGACTCCACCATAAGAAAGAGACTGGGCAAAAATGGTTTGCATGGCAGAGTTCCAAGACGAAAACCACTGCTGAGCAAAAAGAACATAAAGGCTCGTCTCAGTTTTGCCAGAAAACATCTTGATGATCCCCAAGACTTTTGGGATAATACTCTGTGGACAGACGAGACAAAAGTTGAACTTTTTGGAAGGTGTGTGTCCCATTATGTGTGGCGTAAAAGTAACACCGCATTTCAGAAAAAGAACATCATACCAACAGTAAAATATGGTGGTGGTAGTGTGATGGTCTGGGGCTGTTTTGCTGCTTCAGGCCCTGGAAGACATGCTGTGATAAGTGGAACCATGAATTCTGCTGTGTACCAACATATCCTGAAGGAGAATGTCCGGCCATCCGTTTGTGACCTCAAGCTGAAGCGAACTTGGGTTCTGCAGCAGGACAATGATCCAAAGCACACCAGCAAGTCCACTTCTGAATGGCTGAAGAAAAACAAAATGAAGACTTTGGAGTGGCCTAGTCAAAGTCCTGACCTGAATCCAATTGAGATGCTGTGGCATGACCTTAAAAAGGCAGTTCATGCCCGAAAACGCTCCAATGTGGCTGACTTACAACCATTCTGCCAAGATGAGTGGGCCAAAATTCCTCCACAGCGCTGTAAAAGACTCATGGCAAGTTATCGAAAATGCTTGATTGCAGTTGTTGCTGCTAAGGGTGGCCCAACCAGTTATTAGGTTTAGGGGGCAAACACTTTTTCACACAGGGCTATATAGTTTTGGATTTTGTTTTCCCTTAATAATAAAAACCTTCATTTAAAAACTGCATGATGTGTTTACTTGTGTTATCTTTGACTCATATATAAATTTGTTTGACGATCTGAAACATTACAGTGTGACAAACATGCAAAAAGATAAGAAATCAGTAAGGGGGCAAACACTTTTTCACACCACTGTACATGATAACTTGTGAGCTGTTACTAAATATGCAGCATGTATTTCCTCTCACCTTGGCACCATACCGTAGTGATGGTTGCTCTGTCTGCCATCATAAACAACTAGCTGCTATTTCAGCTGGAGCTAACAGTCATTTTATTATCTGTTCATTTTCAGGTCATTGTCTAGGTATATTGGTTTGTCATCTGGCCTTTAAAATGCTATAAACAAGCCTGTTACAATTTCTGAAACTGAGCTCAACTTTATGCCTTGAACAGGCGTGTTGGCCAACTGTCCAAAACCTCCCAAAAATATCAGAAGACAGACAAGTGGAACATTTCCTCAATTGAGAAGCTGAAACTAGGAAATGTTTGGTATTATTTTCTTGAAAAATGCCTGAATGATCAGTCAACAAAGTGTTTCAACAGTTATCTGTTGAACAGCTTATTGGTTAACTGGCCATACTTCTATTTGAGCTGCTCCCTTTAAGTACTTTGGAAATATGCTTTTAGGTGGCAGTGCATGTATGCTGCATTTAATGCAAGTTTGACTACACAGCTGCAGCCACATGTTTGTGAAACATAAATCAAATCAAATCAAATTTTATTTGTATAGCGCCAAATAACAACAAAAGTCATCTCAGGACACTTTACAAAGTAAGGTCTAGACCTTACTGTTATCAATATTATTACATAGGGAAAACCCAACAAATCCCCCTTGAGCAAGCACTTGGCGACAGTGGGGAGGAAAAACTCCCTTTAACGGAAGAAACCTCCGACAGATCTCGTCTCTTGGTGGGCGGCCTTTTGCCTCGACCGGTTGGGGTGAGTGGATAGAGGAGAGACAAAAGAAGAAAAGCAACAAGACACAACAATCAAACACTGATCAGGTTGATGTGGCTGGTGACTGCTCGTCAGAGATGTAGAGCTCCAGGGCCAGGGCAACCTGCAGAAAGGTACAGGGAGAGAGAGAGGACACACTACAGGAGAGAGGAGACACAAAGTTAGTAATGTGTAATAGTGGCAAGCTAGTGGCAGAGGTGCATGCGCAGACAACTGGAGTTATGACCTGGTCTGAACAGCCAGATTTTAAATCAT